CTTGGCCAGCGTGGTTGACTATGGCCTAATCACCCCTTATTAGGGTAGGCTCCGAGCCCCTCGGTGGGGACGTATAGTGAGCTGGTGATGAAAACTTTTTGAAATACTTAAATCTCCCCCAGTTAGGTTCAGATGGGTTATACACAACATAACCGTGTTTGAACATATGCAGATTGATATTTACCTTATTATATAGGTATACTTACGATCGTGTATTCCCGTAACAATTCCACTGCTGGGCCAACAAATTGATATCGAAATAGAACGGCGTCTTATGCTTTTTATTATTTATTTTCTCCCTAAAACAATATCAGTACAGTATATCAGTATCGCAAATATAAAATAATAAATGATAAATCCGTCATGATGGGATTCAATCACGTAGGGAGTGATCGTTTACTTACGAGCGATAGAATCTATTCATAACGAAATACGGAGATAAATCAAATCAAGTTTGTTTGTCTATCTCTTTGTGTAAACATCAGAGGTCAGAGTAAACACTATAACAAATTGTCACAGAAATAGCGATTAAAAGATTGGACTATATGTTTATCTTCTACCAATGAAAGTCAAAGTAAATAACTGATAAATCTAGGTTATAAAAATAAGATTTGTAACGCTATTTTTCACGTATTAAACTAGAGTAAATATATCTCTTTACCCGATAGTGATCACTGTTCCACTTTTTTAATGTTCGAAAATGTTATTAAACGAAATCTGCCAAGAAGATATTGACCTCGCTCGCATAGCTTTTACCTCGACATTACTAGATAAGAGCTGTATAACTATAGACTTTAATCCATAGAGTTTTTTTATAAGAGTAAGTTTCGCGGAAACCTCGGACTTATGTTATATTGGAAAACTAATCACTACCATCCCAACTCACGATGATACACGTTAGTTTAGTGTATAAGATGTAACCTTATGTGACCGACATAAGATACATATTTCTTCAATTGTTTCTCATAAAATAGAATACTTACTCCGCTCTAGCGCTAAACGCCACCGGTGATATACCAGCGGGCCCACTTAGTGCTTTCTGTGTGGACGTATACACGGCGTCCACTCCCCAAGCGTCCATGAAAAATGGCACACCTCCTAGAGACACCACGGTGTCTACCAATAGCAGTGTACCGTATCTGTAACATAACCATAGTAAAAACTAATTAAATACAGAACTGACATTCAAAATATTTCCCCTACAAAACCGCTGTAACTCTACTTGACTACCGCCATCTAAATGCATGCCTAGATTTGTTACTAAGATGTATCAAGTCGTGTTACACTTATGCCTTCATAACAGGACTGTAAAAACCAGTAGAAAAAAATTAAAAAGATAGAATAAACTATTTCCGCACCTATGTTTTATACTCCTTTATATCTATTGCAGTTGTAAACTACTCGAGACATTTAATTAAAAGAGTTTTCAAATTGATAGTGTTGTGAGAGTGTTCGTTGCAAAAAGTCGTGGCGTCGCGTCGCGTGAAAAAGATTAATGATATAATTAAATTGTCTGCCGTTCTCTAGACTAATTCCGCCCAAGCAATCGAAGAATTGATGTGGACATCGAGCGACATCTATACGAGACTTATTTCAATTCTGTTAGTGACAAAAAATATATTGTACGATTCGTAAGAGACACACGTCCTCGAATAAAATGGACATAATAAAATAATGATGTAATTTACAAAGCGAATTATTTGATACGTGCTACAGATAGCAATTTACTAGCAAATTGAGTCTAGATTTACGAAGCTACGAAGGTCCTTTTCGGTAATCTTAAATGTCGAAACTAATAAGATTTAAGGAGTAACTATTAACTTATTGTAATGTTAATAAGAGATTTATTAAATTAGAAACTTATACATAGTTAAGGTTCACTTTGTTTGGTCCGTTTTTTGCACTATGGCAAATAATATTTAGTACATTGTAAGTTGTAAGTAAGCGGATTTTCGGGTACAAGACAGCTTGTCATGGTTACGAAAGACGGTCGGGGCGGGTCGCACGTGACTTCGCCAGTTTTCAACTATAGATCTAATACTCTCTTCCTATTTTAGATAGAGATTTAGAATCTTATAATAAGTTCTGTAAAAACGGAGACGAATAAACTACACTATTTTTAGCTTATATATTTATAGGTGAATAGACGTTACTTACTTGTGACAAATATCGCCAAGACCCTCAAGTTTTTGCACGGTGCCCGTTGATGAATCGCCGTGGGTGATGAAGAGGGCAGTTGGACGATACAACTCCACTTGTTTTTCGAGTTCCTCCAATGTAAATGTTGTATTATAGGGTATTCGGTATACAATTGTTTTGATTCCTGAAAGATACGATTAAAATATTTTATAAAACTGTTGATTATTTTAAAGTTTTCTTCAATGAATACAACGAATCTAGAATATTTCATAATATTATTATTTTTATTAAGGGGCTTTTAAACAAATAAATGCTATAACAGAAATTTCGTAATTAAATTTAATACATTGAGGAAAATTACCATATCTATTAGCGACATTGTATGCTCGTTCGTCCCAGATGCCCCTTGTAGCAATAAGCAAGGTTTCCTTGGGACCGACCAGGTTGGTGATCAGTGTTTCCATGCCCGAATGACCTGACCCACTAATGGCCAGCACCAGGTTGCTCTTAGTTTGGAACACATATTTAATTCCAGCGCGAATGTCATCTAAGGCCTAAAAAACATATTCAATTAATATCTCACAAACTGTTCTGTAAACAACAACAAACAATAGTTTCGTTACAAACACATATACGGCCAATATGTTCGTCCAGACTCCAGACTATTCTCTACATCTATTTCAAATTTCATCGAGAATCGTTTTCTACAAACTCTAACAAACATCTATCCATCTATTCATCCACATAAACTTTCGCATTTATAATATTAGTAACGTAGTAATTATCTGTGGTATAATTAAAAAATACTCTTCAATTACCTTAAAGAATTCTTCGCACAAAGGTGAAACAACGGGTTTAGTTAGAGCTTGACGGACCGACGGCCACATGTTGCAAGGTCCAGGGCCACATAATAAGGGCTCCTTGAATTCAAGATCAAGGATTTTGGGCGGAGGGATGGACATCTTTGATGAGTACATTCTTTCTAAGCCTGTAAAAATAAGAGAATTGAAAAATTTTTGTCTTGTTAGAACGGATGCACACCTTTGACTAAACTATAGCACATCTCTAGTGCGATTGTTGATTGCTTCGGAACCAATTCAAATGTTTAATTACACAACTAAAAATCGAGCAGTGTTCCGCATCTTCATATAAGTTCAGGAATCAAAGCGCGACTAAACAGTTATGGAATAGTTTAGTCAAATATGTTATAATAGTGGGTTTTATCTCCGACACTAAAGCATAATGTCATTTCACTTTATATCTTTAAAAAACTGAGATGAAAAACACTTTTTTTGTACGTTCTTTCAAACGTCTCTAGTCAGGCAACACCTTTCAAATTAGAGGTTAACTTCTCTTGTAGCGTTTAGTGTTTCTCTAATTTTGTAAATTCGATTAACTGTTGAATCGTTGCATTTAGCACATAATTTTTCTTTGATAGAAATACGCTGTGAAGTGTGCTCAATCTACAAACGTTCTTATCCGAGTTGTGTAGTTTCTTTTTAATCTAAAAGGTTTCCGTTAAGAGCAAATGTGTTTTTAAGTGCGATCGACACGAGTGCTTCGATACGCGCCGAGGGCTACATTAAAATCCTATTTGAAATGTTAAAGGATTCTTTGAACGGTTCAAAGGCGAAATGAGAGCATTGTTAAGTAGGTCTCAAGCTTACTACATTAGAAATTACAACGCTTATATTTAAGATTTTTGGTTTACAGAACTTCTAATATATCGGCTAAATTATACTTTCAGAAAACGTGCTAATATACATTACTAGTAGACGTTACTTAAAAATATGATTCACTATGTTATAAAAACATGAAAGTACTTTTCTAGCATACTAGGAGCTATCGGTTAAACCTTTAATTTAGTCCGTTCGCGGTGACCGATATTCAGGCGCGGGCCCGTGAAGTTCGGTTACCGGAATCGGGTTAATGTTTAGATTTAGTGCTAATAGGGTTGGTTGTAAATTTGCTGCAATGTTCGGTCGCTATCGGATGGCACATTTGGCAAGTGCGCTTCGCCTGGGGCCGAGCGCCGCTTGCCAGCATCCTATTTGTTTCCCTATCGCCTGAGCCTCGTTACAGCGGTTTAGCAATTGTTTTTATAAACTGTTTTGAAGATGCATTTGCTTAGTTATAGAGATCCGGAAAGTAAAGACTCGATTACAGAGGTCGAATAGGTCACGACTTTATACGTAATGTCGATAAGAGCAAGTAGAGAGCGGTTGGCGGGCAACAGGGATGGAACAAATTCAATGTTGCCTCGACAAATTGATTCGATTCCCCTCGCAACTGTCGGCGCTGTCCCACTGGTACACGAGGAGTACGAGACGGGCGTCCTCCGGGAACTCTCGCGAACAAGACGGCGGCAAACTCCCGCTCTCCGATCAAGTGTAACGATACCCATATAGATCTCTAAGCTTGTTTTGATATAATCGACACTTTATATTCCTAGACTTTGGATAGTTTATTAAATTTTGTTTTTATGATACATTTTATATGAATATAAAAACATGAGTTATAAAACTTGTGAACGTCTAATACCAATATGGTAAAATCAGTTTCATGTCATATTGAAGGAATATTTCAAAAATATTAAAGTTCTATAATAAGGGCTTATAGCGAAAAAATTGTAAGCTTTGGATATAATTTTGTAAATAACAAACGAGTTAATTATAATAACATTTCCTTATATAAAATTAAATTAAAAAAATCAATTGTCTTTATATATTTTTAGCAAATCAATAGTGAAAGTTTTTATTGTAGGTAAAAAAGGTACTTACTGAATAATAGACGAGTAAGAATTAGAGAGCAAATATTAGAATTACACAAATGTCTTGCGATACGGCTATTCTTTACAAGGCCACGTGCACAATGGTACAGTGATGTTATGATATACCCGTGGATGACATATTTAGATAACATAGGGTTAAAAGATAAATATAACCATTTCGCTACCGGTTAGAATTTATTGACATTTCTATTACTGCTATATGTATTTTTGTATTGCAAAGATAATGCAATACAGTCAGCTTCGATATTGTAAAATGTATTTTGCAAGCGCTAAGTTTACTTTATCTATTTCGACTTGAATAGAGACAAATTGCCAAGCGTGTTGCATTCGGTGCGACTTTATAAAGTTAGCTGGCTGCTCGCTGGAGACACGAGGGCTATACGTTGCGATTGTCGAACGACTTTTATATCTTTAGACTAGACGTATACTATTCATGCTTTATTTATTTGTTGCAGCATTTAGAATACATAGTAAATGAAGTGTATAGAATACATCTTACTGTTACTTTTAAACAGTACAAAACTCTTATCTCTATGTCGTCCAAGAGATTTATTTACACTATTGTCTATCTATACTATTTTTAAGGTATTTTTATAGAAAGTTTTAGTAAATCGTAGTCAATTTTTTAAGTATGGTTCTACGACCATTATTTTTACAGTCGGCTTAGCGCCTGCGTGGCTCGTGCCGCAATTTTCACTTCGATAACTTGCAGTCATTAGAATCAGTTAAGGCGTCTACGTTTAGTATATTCACAGATTTAATTGTCGAATTTATGTTATTTTATTATAAAATTTACTAGCAAAAATACTCGCACGGCATACGTTAGTATTTTAATTATAATCATAACTGTTAAAATCTGTATACTATGAGGAAAACCCAAAACTGCTGTGCACTAGAAATACAAAATACCTACAGAAGAACCCCTTGACGCGTCTTCGTGACATTTTCATTTTAATAATGGAACTGAAATGCACTTTTCATTATTTAAAATAGACTTTTCATTTTAGAAAGATCTGCATTTATATAACATTTTAATGACGCAACTTGATTATTTTTGGTATCTTTACTAAGGCCCCATTTTGCGTGTTTATAACAAACTTCATTTTCAAAGATCAATTAAAATGCAACTGAAAGAAACAAACTGAATTCATGTAGTTATTAATGATTTTGCTGTGTGTATTTCCGTTAAATTGTATGTTTGATTCGAAACGATATACTTGTTGGCTTGCATTCTATCCCTCGGGTGTCTGTGAAGCGGCGACTAGCCAATTAGAAAATATTAACTACATCGTGTGAACTGCTAATAACCGTTAGTTAGTTATAGAATGACATCATTATACAATCAATCTTGTCTACTATACCCGTGAAAACTGTATTCAGTCACACTGACAAAAGCATAGACAAAAATAATAAACACAACGTAAATTGTTTCCAATAAAGTAGAGTTCGGGATCAAAGCGCGCAATTGTTCGGTGTCGTTCATTCAAGTCCTAATTGATTTACTTGCTCATTTTCTGCGCAAATAATTTGTCTGCAGACGTATGCTCACTTAGATAGACAAATAAAGATCTGTATCTATAGTACAATACGGAAGATTGTCTGTCTGTACTCAAAGACTCATGCGGAGGCCCAAATTTAGTCCCTTTTCCTTCCCACCATTCTTCTGATATGAAATGGGAAGGGAACGTGTACTTGACGCTGGAGGAAACGCACAGGAAGGAGAAATATCCTCTTTATGTGCGTTTTCTTTTCCGTCGATTAAGGGTAGGCAACGCATACGATATTTTGAATGTCTATGGGCAGTGATCACTTCACCATTTTGGCGGATTCATGTGGCCGTTTGCCACTTTATAATATAAAAAACAGTTTTAAATATTGTTTCAGGCGATAACTTCATGCTTAATTTTGTTTGTCGTTTTAAATGCTAGCCCGGAATCATTGATGATTAAATATAAATGTTTTTTTTTTAATGTAGAGTGTATTTATAATAATCAAGAATTTAATTCCTATCAAAATAGGTCTTTGATCGTAATCTTAGAAAGTTTAAAGCAGAAACTTGAAAATAAAATCTTATATTCTACTACTAAAAAAATTAAATTTTGTCGTTCTGTTCGTACGTAACATTTTATTGTCCTGGTACTGGTACAATACAATGCTGTAACAAGAAACTCGAGCTTAAATTGCTTTTGGCAGCCGTGAAAGATAATTACGTTGGGAGCAATTTCGATTTTAATACAATCTTATTATAATGAAATTATTTTCTTTGATGCTTTAACTTATTCTATACTAGCTTTCGCCCGCGACTCCGTCCGCGTGGAATTAAAAAAACACAAAAGTGAGTAGTCTATGTGTTCTTACAGACTATCCTCTACATCTATACCAAATTTCACCGAAATCCGTACAGTCGTTTAGGCTACAAACTCTAACAAACATCCATCCATCTAAACTTTTGCATTTATAATATTAGTTAGATTGTACATGTTTTTACTAGGATATAACCAAAGTTATAGAATTTAAATATAGTTTTGTGAATTGCAAAGTTTTTCTGCTATTGATGAATATTCAAAAATGTTTTTGAATGTGGGGTTTTGGGATCTACTCGTGGGTTTGCTGTTGAACCATTAATAAAATATATTTCAGTTTTTCCAAAAAGATTGTTAGGATGTTAATCAATTTTTCTCACATAAACTTAAAATTTCGGATTTGCGTCCTCGATTTTGTAAGTACTTAAAACTGTAGAAAATTTCAAATAAAAATAATAAACCTGGGCTCGTCCGGGATTTGAACCCGGGACCTCTCGCACCCTAAGCGAAAATCATACCCCTAGACCAACGAGCCGGTGGTTACAGTGGTTTTTATAATGGCTTACTTTTACTTTTATGTAAAGATACACATTGCATAGAAACGCTTTTGTACTACCAATGACAGTGGACAATAAAAACATATTGTACTAATATAGATCAGTTATCTAATAACCCTCATATTCCCTACCTTATTCTAATATTAGGATACAATCTATAGGTACCGTATAGAGGTAGATTGAAATGCTGTAAGTAATGACTTCACCTCTGAAAATTGCAACGAGCGCCGCGCGGCAAGCCGACTGTGAAAATAATGGTCACACAGCTTTGCGTCTTAAATCGTCGACTGCTAAGCACGTAAATGACCGTCCGTATTTTATAGTGGCTTTTAATTTTTTTACCTTTAAATATGAATATGTTATGGGGATGTGAAGTATATGAAAATTACAATTTCCTACAATTATTATCTGTGCTAATATGATAAAGCGTAAACAAACAATACTTCGTGGCGTAGGCTGCAGCAATCACATCATATTTTTGGATGATTCTTAGAGGATAAATCAATTGGAAAAAACCTTTATATGAGAAAGACACTATGAACTACAAGCTGCCAACATCAAGGAAGCAAGGTTGCGATGGATTGTCATCATGTCATGTAATTTTGACATTTGGAATTGAAAATTTTACAAATGTGAACAAAAAAATAAAATTTTCATAAGTTCATGATATAAATATAAATGACGTAGACAGACGTAGGAACTCTTGTTAAGGCTAAAAACGGGAAAAAGCAACTTAGCGCAATATCTAATCTTTTATAGACCTCGTCAAGACAAGCCAAAGAAATTGGCCGTTACCTCTTGTTTTCTAGGAATTTTCATTTCCTTGCTCGTAAGGGCATGAAAGTTGGGTTAAAAAAAGGTATTGGGCTCGTCCGGGATTTGAACCCGGGACCTCTCGCACCCTAAGCGAAAATCATACCCCTAGACCAACGAGCCGCTTGAAAGAGAGTGCATAAAACGCATTCAGATTATTAAATGTTACATAACTAATACTGTCTCAACTTACTATAGCCTTCTACGTAAGATTGTTGCACAAACGTGCCCGAATAACTCAACCAATTTTAATGCACACAGAGAATCTTTTATTACGTGTGAATTATAAAAACTATATTGAGGCAGCTGTGCGTTGGCGCGTAGGTGAAAGTATTTTGTTGAAAATCACGTACAGGTTTTGCGCTTGTCTTCTGATCTACATTTGTAGTTAAATTATTGATTATAAAGACAAATGCTAATAGTTAAAATCATTTGTTAAGAGTTTTATTTTATCTCCAAATCATTTAAATTCAGTAAATAACATTAAAATTTAAGTGATTGCTATACTCTTTCATTTCAATTCAAAGATAAGGGAATTTTATAGCACCTTTATCGTTATGGTTGTAAATTATTTGATAGTGAAGGGCTATAAAAATTACATTCATTTTTATAGTAATCCATACTCACGTAACAATAAGGATGTAGGTATGTTTGTTACTAGTTAACTCCAGAACGGTTTGACTTTTTGGATGAATTTTGGTCCAAAGTTAGAATATAATAAAGAATAACGAATAGATCTACTTTTCAATCCGGAAAAATGTATAGTTTTTATGCGATACATCAATAACTTCTCAATTAAAGACCGAAATTTTTTATTCTATCCGGTCAAAGTCGCGGTAAATAACTAATTATTCATATATTTTTCATTACGACTTTGCATATTTTTGTACATTGCGAGCGGCTCGTTGGTCTAGGGGTATGATTTTCGCTTAGGGTGCGAGAGGTCCCGGGTTCAAATCCCGGACGAGCCCAATACCTTTTTTACACCCGCTCATTTCATAATCACACTCAATTAAACAAAAACAATACAAACTGAGAATTCTTAAGTACTTCATTAATATAATCACAATAAAAAATATAAAATAACCGTTCCACTGCCTTCAAACATCGATCTGTTTATTTCTCTCTGACAAACTTGAATTAAAAATATGTTTTTGCGTCAATATTTAGTTAATGGAAACCCAAAGTAATATAGAGCCAGAAACGTTAAACTGCAGCTTATATACAATATTCAAAGTCCAATGCAATGCATTTACGATATCTTGGAGTCAATAGAGACCGCGGCTGTGGCACTCAAGAGCTTCTCTATTTACGCGGTCGTTAGCGTTAGCCAACTAGTGAAGCGCAATCGAAGCAATTACCGCCTCTACAACTAAATTGCTATTCCAACTGATGCGAAATAATAGGACTGCCTGTATTTCTATATCTAATGGACTGGGATTTGTTTGGATTACATACTTAATTATTTTTAAT